ATTTTATACGAAAACCACACACAACATACGAAAGCTTTCAAGTGTCGAATGCCACCCCCAGTCGGTAGTTCGTATCTCCCAAACACTGTTCGTATAGGTGGTCGGGAACTTGAACGGGCAGCAGTTCCATCTACACCGGTCTTCGCAGGAGTGCCTAACCGAAATCAGTTCCAGGCACTCAACAACCAAGTACCGCTGCCTGCATTCTGGAGACAAAATGGCCACCATCCATTCTGTCGACCACATGCGTTCAGTTGCACGAAATGGCAGCCACCCAGGGGAGCATTCTATTAATTGCTTCCATTGTGATTTTTGTACTGGATACTTAGTGTTCCATGTTCTAATAAGGTGCTGGGGTGGTCCTCGTTCTGTAACCGAACCAGGTGGGTTTGAACAAATAAACGAACATAAAAGAAACAAAATGTGCCGAACCAAGTGATGGGGTATTCCTTCACACAATCCTTTGGTAAAAAAAAAAAAGTAGGGGAGATACAGCGCTAACTCCAAAGGTAGCAGAATAGGGTCTATTACACCCTAAAAATTCAAGTGGAACAAGGAAAAAAACAGACTGCGCCGAATAAGAAATACTAGATAATCATATACAGAGATATATGTACAAAATTATATATAAAAATATTGAGATATAACAATATTAGAGTCCCAGCAAAAAAAGTATTTTAGTGGAGATAAGAACCTTTAAGAAGATAGTGCTTTTTTTTTTTTTTTGAGGTCAGTCAGTTATCCTCCTTAGTGTTCAAGTAGACAAAACTTTAATGCAGATGAGGAATGTTATTGGTGTCTCATATGATATAAAACACAAAAGAAACCACCAATAGTGTAATTCGGTATATACAATGTCTTGGGTAAAATTAAGATAAAATGCACTCACAAGAAAACAGCGTCCAATCAGCTCTTAGATAGGCTTCTGAGCAGTGCAATCTGGGGCTGTCCCCTTTAGATGTTCACAATGTAAACAACAAATGAAAGGAATAAAACAAGAAATAGTGCTCACCATTTTAAACAATAGTACTTTACAAAAAATATATATATATAAAATCTACACACAATTTCAAGAGCATCTTTGCTCAATATCAGCTTGGGTAGTATGATCCCCACCATGGGTATATGTAGGTAGATGTTGAGGTTCTTTTAGATTAATATAATAAAATGCAGGATAAAAAATAAACATAAAATTTTTAGGGTAAAAACAATGTTTACTGTAATATATCACACAAAATATCACTTGAAAAAGCCTATGGGTGAAACGTGTTGTGATTCTGAAGTTGCTTACGAATTAAATCAGTTTGCAATGCTTCCCAAATCCAATCAGTTAATACTGTCAAAAAAAAAAAAAAAGAATAACTGCAAAAATATTGCAATTATACCTCTAAGATATTGTGTATATCAATTTATTTCAAAAAGGTTACCTGTTGATGCCAGCAAGGTTTGGCCAAAATTATTAGTTGATATCATTGTAATCACATCTGTTTTAATAAGCAACACTAATGCTAGATTCATACTTTGTGGAACAGGAAATCTTACAATGATAGCGACTAGTATTTTCAAGAACATATGGGACTTGTGCTTTAAGATAATTCACCATATCTAGCTTAAGACTTGGCTGATCAGGATGAAGTACTGCATAAAAATACATGTTGTCCAGATTTTATATTTAAATAAAATATTATGTAGCTTAATGTAGTTGTTCTGGTGAGTATAATCATTGCCTTTATTCATTTAATGAAAAGGCAGTGTTTACTATGGGAAAGCATTGGATTGGCTAAAAATCGGCAATTCTGATGTCACCAAGGAAGCAGATCTGGGGCGGAGTCAGCATCGGCAGACTCGCGTGTCACTGTATATAAGGTGAGTTTTCACCTTTTCTAAGGGGGCTAAGAGGGGATAAGCCACATAAATGGTGGATTAAACACTATAGGGTCAGGAACACATGTTTCTGTTCCTGAACCTATAGTGTTTTTTTTGCTTTTTTTTTTTGTCAATCTTTATTTTTGTTGTGCACAAAGTACCGTATATACTCGAGTATAAGACAAGTTTTTCGGCACATTTTTTGTGCTGAAAAACCCCCACTCGTCTTATACTCGAGTCAGTGTCTGTATTATGGCAACTTACATTGCCATAATACAGACCAGGACTGCCGGTCTTTCATTACTTACCCGAGCCACCCCATGGCAGATCTTCCTCCTGGCAGCCCCCCGGCCATGTGAGTGAGGTCCTTGCGAGGACCTCACAATCACATGGCCGGGATAGCTGCCTGCTGACTTGCCAGCAGGGGGACTGCCTGTAATGACAGGTAGTCCCCCTGCTGGCTGGAAATAAAAATAAAATAAAGTTAAAAAGTGTAAAAAAAAATAATATATACTTAGATATATATATTAATATCAAATTACACGTAGACTGATATTGATTAAATATATAGTTATTGTTATATATATATTTATATATAATATAAAAAAATTAAATATGTAAATACGTTAAATAAAATGTAAAAAATTATTTAAAAAAAAATTAAATATATAGATGTGTGTTATTTCGTTCTAACTGTATTGTGATATTAATATATATATATATATATATATATATCAAAATACATGTAGAACGAAATAATATATCTATCTATATACATAAATATATACGTATATATCACTATATATAAACCTATATAAATAAAAATATTTTAAAAAAATTATATAAATATATATATATATATATATAGATACATATATTAATTCTACATATATATTTATGTAATATTTTTACATAATTAGGTATCTTAATTAATTACAATTAGCGGGACCTGCCTGACAACCCATGCCGAAAGTAAAGGGACTTTAATTTGCTAGCACTATATTTAACCCTATAACTTTCCAAGACACCATAAAACCTGTACATAGGGGGTACTGTTCTACTCTGGAGACTTCGCTGAACACAAATATTAGTGTTTCAAAACAGTAAAATGTATTACAACGATGATATCGCCGGTAAAAGTGAAGTTTTTTGCATTATTCACGCACAAACAGCACTTACACGGACGATATTATTGCTGCGATACTTTTTACTGTTTTGAAACACAAATATTTGTGTTCAGGGAAGTCTCCCGAGTACAACAGTACCCCTCATGTACAGGTTTTATGGTGTTTTCAAATGTTACAGCGTCAAATATAAGGCTTGTGTTTCATTTTTTTGACATTAAAATTCGCCAGATTGGTTACGTTGCCTTTGAGACCCTATGGTAGCCCAAGAATGAAAATTACCCCTATGATGGCAAACCATTTGCAGTAGTACACAACCCAAGGTATTGCAAATGGGGTATGTCCAGTCTTTTTTAGTAGCCACTTAGTCACAAACACTGGCCAAAATTGGCATTTTTTGCATTTTTCACACACAAACAAATACTAACGCTAACTTTGGCCAGTGTTTGTGACCAAATGGCTACTAAAAAAGACTGGACATACCCCATTTGCAATACCGTGGGATGTCTACTATTGCAAATGGTATGCCATTATGGGTGTAAATTTCATTCCTGGGCTACTATAAAGTCCCAAAGGCAACGTAACCAATCTGGCGAATTTAAATTTCAAATGTAATGTGCTATATTTGATCCTGTAACTTCCCAAAACGCCATAAAACCTGTACATAGGGGGTACTGTTTTACATGTGAGACATCGCTGAATACAAATATGTGTTTTTTATTGCAGTAAAAGCAAACAGTATTATGACATTGACAGTTAAAATGTCATGTAGAACTAAAAAAATTAAAATAATTCTTATTTTCTCCCATTTTTTTCATATTAAATTATGTTTCATAGCTAAATATTTGATATTAAATGAAATCCCTGTTTCCCCTGAATAAAATGATATATAATAAGGGTGGGTGCATTTACTATGAAATAGGTGAATTACGGTTGGACAGACATGTAGCGCAAATGCCAGGTTTTGTTTACATTTTGTTTCGTTCACAACGTGTACATTTGGCTCAGTCCTTAAGGGGTTAATGTAATTTTTTTGGTCTCTAATATTATTTAGAAATTTACCAGTAGCTGCTGCATTTCCCACCCTAGTCTTATACTCGAGTCAATAAGTTTTCCCAGTTTTTTGGGGTAAAATTAGGGGTCTCGACTTATATTCGGGTCGACTTATAATCGAGTATATACGGTAACAAAAAGCTTCCAAGCCACAACAGCAATCACAAGCATATTATGCATAGGCATTATATTCATTGACATGGCATTTTGTTAAACTGCACTTTTTCATTTATATGAGTAGGAAAAAAAAGCCAGCGGAGAGACACAACGGCATATTATAAGAATCTGGCTATACTGACTGACTATGCGAAAAATGTGAACGAGAACAAATGATTTTATTACATGTTAGACAGATTAGTAAAATAGTTAAGCATAACAAGTAAGCCACCGAAGCCCTGCACTCTGTCATGACTGCCTTATAAGTTAGAATTGTGTAACGTGCCAGCCACCCACACCCAACATTGTTTGTGCTGACTGTGCTAGACATGGGAAAGCAAACCAATGCAAAATGGGTGAGCTGAGACAAGTTTGTGGTAAGACTTAAATAAGTAACTTGGGCGTGTGAGAGAGCACCCCATCTCTGTAGTGCAGTAGTGCATGGTACAGCTTGCAGGTCAGATTGTCCACAGTCAGCCTATTCCCATGCTGGGCACTGTGGTGGTAGGCTTTTTGGGGTCCTCTAGGGTGGCGGTGCGGCCTAGGCGAGCAGAGTGTTCTCCCCAATCCCTGGCCTTATGACAGGTCTGCATCTTCTTTCCACAGATTCGGAGCTCTGAGGCCGCTGCAGAAGGTCACGGTGTTGTGTCACCGGCAGCGGCGGGCGGTCTTCCTACGATGTGAGCAATGCTTCGGAGGAGTTCTCTGGGCAACCTATGGCCTGGGTGGGGCCTGTGTAGCAGGTACTTGGGTTTGTGTTGTGCCTAAGGTGGTTGACCCCCTATCTTTCTCACCTCCGTCTCATGGGTAGGTGGTTGTGGTAGTTGTGTACAGTTTCTCCCAAATCCGATTAAATATTCTTTCCAGGGGTGTCAGTGCATTTTCTTCAGAGTTGTCTTCCAGTTGCTTAGATGTGGGCACTGATGACCGGGGTGCGCCTGCCATTTTATTAGACCTAGTGTGGTCCGGGCTGGAGTCATAGTGGCCGGCCGGAGGTAATGTAGTCGTTCGCATTGGGTCGGGGAATGAGGATCCACACTGGTGTGTACAGCAATATATGACTGGGGAGCGGCCGTCCATGCTTGTAGGCCACAAGATCCGGTTTGGTGGGACCAGTGAATAACACCACTTTTTTGGTATCATCGTGTAGGTCTCCCAGTCCCCTGTCATTTTGGGCATCAAGATAAGCCTTTACCAGTGCATAAATCGGGTAAGTTTGTGCTGGAGCTGCCGGCCCACCTGTCTGCTCGGCTCTGTGGTCAAGCCCATCCCCCCTATAATGCTTTTTTAATAAGCAACATTTCACCAGGAAATAAATATTTTGATTTTGGCTATTTTCCGTGTACATCCTGGGGTCTTAAGGGTATTACCAAACTTAATAGTACACTATGTCCCTGTAGCTTTAACCCTGCAAATGAAAACGTTGTTTTAGCAGTAACAACAATGTTACAATGCATGTTTAACATGCCTTTAGTGGCTGTCACACTGATAGCCATTAGAGGCAATTCCATCCCAATAGCAGTTAAATAGAGTTTAATTTAGCTTTTCAATCAGATTGTCTCATGGAGAACATTGGCACAGTGTGGTGTTTAACTGTACATGCGCACTATACACGTTCATGCTCACTAATGGCTACCTATGGTGAAACATTGGATTGGCAGAGATCATCTACATTAATGATCTCAGCGAAAGAGGCGGACACATAGGACAGAGAGTGGTGCGGCAATGGCTGAAAGGCAAATAAATCTCATCCTTCAAACCCTCATGCTGGCACCAAAATAGATGTTTGTATGCCTAACACTACAGTACAAAAAGAAAAAGGTTGGATCTATCTTACTTTTGATACTACCCATATGCTTTCCATCACTTTCCTAGTAAGTGATATGATGTACTAACAAACCTTGCTCGCTACGCTTTGCGCTATAATTTGCAGCTGTTGCAAGTGTAATTGGTGGTGAGTTTGGCTTTCAAATTTCAACATTCTCCAAGATGCCCATGAAGACAGAGACCTGACAGAGGCTGAAGATGTACAGGCCATAATTATATTTTCAAATGAACTAATTTAAGTAAAAATAAATGCACTTGAAACTGATATGAAGAGTGTAAATGAACAAACATTGATCTGTCATTAGAAAAAGTCTATGCACCATTATATATATATATTTTTTTTGTTTTAAATAAACCTCCAGCAAACCTTGTGTACAGTATTTTAAAGGTTCTGAAGATCCGTTTGCTGCTTAGTTGACATCTAGAAGATGTATCCCAAATTGCAGAATTTGATTGGCTGGTGTTCTTTGCAGCCCTGTTCATCAGTAACTGCCACTGAGAGTTTTTAGAAATTGTGATGTAATTATAAAATGTCTGCCTCCACAACAAAACACTGGCATGGTTATTATAGCTAGATTTAGTATTACTCGGTTTTGTAAAAGGTTTATCTCTTTGCATTATTGCTTTAATGTTACTTATGGCAATGAATTTGCAAAAGCAAAGTGGATTTTGAGAATATGCCACACAGGGTTATTCACTAAAATATAAATTGCTGGGAATTCAAAGTGAATGAAACGTGAATTTGAAATTTACGTTGAAAATAGCCAAACTAAAAGCAGAAATTACCTTTTCTAATTAGGCCTAATTGTGGCCTAAATTCTGAAATTCACTTTGAATTCCTGGCAATTTTCACTTTAGTAACTTCCGCTGACAAGGTAACCAGTAACAAGGTTCAAATGAGTATACAAAATATGATGCTCATATAACATTCTGTATGAGCCGAATGCCCCCTTAGATAAAGTAGCTGTTTAAGTTATTGCCATGTTTTTTCTTATAGTACATTGAATGTATTGTGAAATCTTTGGTTTGTTGGAAATGTAATTATTTTTCCATTTGTACAATTGTCTTGTGTACATTACCTACTGTGACCCATTTGTCACAAGATTACGCAATGTCTCTGGAGTTAACCTTAATTGTCCTTAGTGAGGTGCATTTATATATGCCACCTCAGTGACCCATTACAAAATAATCTGAGCACCATTTTGTCATAAATTAAAATAACTAATATGCCTAAGAAGAATGACAGATTCATTAATAAAGATATTGTAGAGTAGTAAATGTAAAGATTTACACATTTAATTCTGAGTTGTGGATGAGATCTGAATGGCAAAACTTAGGCTAAAATATCCAAACTGCAAGTAAATAAATTTCTGTGTTGCACAAAATTTAACTCTCACCTCTGTGGTTTATTAACTGTGGAATGTGGAGCATTCATAAGGAACACACACATTTGAAGCCAAAATTTCCAAAATGGATAAATATATTTCCATTTCAGTTTAATTGGTGTGAAATGTGCTACTCCTTGTTAATTTTCCCATTCCCCTAATCTTCCCATAATTCCCATTCTATTAAATAAACGCACATGTCTTAAATAAACGCAATGAGGTATCCAATAATTTATAGTCTTGTGCAAAGCAAAAGAAGGAAATTTGAGAAACAGCATTTAAAGTGTGTGGCTGTATCCTATACCAAGAACAAATGTTCAAAATAATGTCTTGATGGCTTGTTACTCCAGTTCAAATGTATAGAATAGTGAGGAATCCAAATGATCTTCTTCGCTAGCATCTATGTGGCCACAGAGGCACATAATTGCAAATGTAATGAGACTGTTCCAAGTTACACAGGTTCTGTAAAAGCATAAGGGATCTCACTATAACAGTTCTGCAGAGACCAGTCAACTTCTCCCCTTGGCTAAATCTGATGAGGCTGGCGACTAGCAGTAAGGCACCTCCATTACTGTATATTCTTTCTAAAACTGAAGAACATTTTTTAATGGATGTAACGGATCCCCTATAGTTCGGCTGAGTATATCCATTAGTAGTCTCCCGAATCCCAAGTGCTGCAGTGATTATAGCTTTCCTGTTTCCAGCAGAGTAGTGATTAGAGCTCTCCAACCCCCAAACATGAGCCTAGACTTCATGAAGGGGTAAAATGAATGAATTCCCCACTGAACCTGAGAATAGACTACAGCAAAAACATTTACATGATTACATTGGTTCTCAGGTCCAGGACACTCCCACATAAAACAAGATAATCCCTCCGCTGTGCCTGGGAGATAATTGAGTCAGGAACTGTACTAAACTCAATTATCTCCAGACATAGAAAACAAACATTTACAATACCCCAAAAGTACCCCCAAAACACATGGAAACCCCACAAAATAGCCCCGATCTGGGGGACCAACATCCAAAAATCACCCAGATCGGTTCAGGGGTTCGGGATATAAATGGAAGTCCTAATTTGACCGACTGCACGTGAGGCTCCTGCCCAAAACAGTTCCAGAGAATCAGGGCTTGCGGTTGGTCTTGTTCTGTAGTTTAAAAACGGAACAAACTACCGAACATAGTCAATGATCTTATCGTGGAGCTTGTTCCCACTCATCCACATGAACGATTCCACCAAACAGTGCCCTTCTAAGTTGTGTAGAACCAAACACAGGCAATGATGGAAGTCCAGCAGAGTTCGGGAGTTTGTGTCCAATTTTACTTCCAGGAACTCAACCACCAAACACCGCTGCCTGCGTTCATGAGAACAAGATGGCCGCCACCTTGTGGTCGCTCAAACAGACCATTAGAACACTGTGGTTAGAATCGTTACTAAGTGTTACTGGGGTTAAACAAGCTCCCGGGTGGTCTATGGTTTGTGCGGCTGTTCAGTTCCCGAACACATCCCAATTGCACCAACAGAGCCTTTTTAAAGTATATTAGCCAAGGTCTATTGCAGGGGCCATAGTTCTGACGCAAAAGGCTGGTCAGCAGGCCTCTCCAAGAACCTGTGACGAGGATCAGTTCGTCACAATGGACAAACTGACTTCTAAGGTTGGACATTCTTCTCCAGAATATAGATCCATGGAAATATTATATGTCTAACAGGAATTAAAAAAAAAAGTTTAATGCACTTTCCAGTTTTGCAACAAACTAGGAATCAAATTCCTTCTTGACCCCAGAATGCCAGTCAGATCTCTGTTAAAAACTGTATCCCTGAATATTATGCTTTTGCAAGTTTTCATCCATTTTTTTTTGTGTGTGTAAAAAAAACATTTCCTTTGCCTTAGACTAAATCTTTCTTCCAGTTTAAATGTGTGACCTTGTTTCCCATGTGTAGTCTTGTTTATGAACAGATTTCCATACAATGGTTTGTATTGGCCCCAAATATTTTTGTATAATGCTGTCATATCCAGGGTTGTCTTTAAAGTGGGGCAAACTGGGTAGCTGCCCCGGGCCCAGTTACTCCTGGAGGGTCCAAGGCAGCTGCCATCAACAATTTATTCGGGCCCCGCACTTCTATCAGCAGGGGTCCGGTTGTGTGCTTTGGCCCTTAACAGCACGACCGGGCCCTTGCTTTTTGGCAACATGGGAGGAAGTGACTGCCGCGAGTCACTTCCTCCCATAAAGAGAGCAGTTGCGTGGGTGGGATCAGGAGGAGCAGAGCGGGAGTGAGGTGAAGGCAGTGAGGATCCTCACTCCCATCAGCCTCAGGCTCCACACTGGAACCCAGGGAAGGCACCCTCCAGCAAAAGGTAGGAAACTATAGGGTGTGTTTAAAAATGTTAAGTGTGTCAGTATGTGTGGGTGTCAGTATGCCTGTCTGTGGGTGTCAGTATGTCTGTCAGTGTATGTGCCTGTGTGTGTTAGTATTCTGTCTGTGTGGGTATCAGTATGACTGACAGTTTGTGTCAATATATCTGTCAGTGTATGTGTGTAAGTACGTCTATCAGTGTATGTGTCTGTGTGTGTGTGTCAGTATGCATGTCAATGCATGTATGTGTGTATGTCAGTCAGTTTATATGTCTGTGTATCTGTAAGTAGTCAGTGTGTATCTGTGTTATTTGCATGTGTGTCATTGTGTCTGAGCACCAGAATTATATATAAACACACATTCAAAAAACACTACACATAAATGCACACTTGCATCCAAACTCCAACACCACATACAAACACATTCAGACAAACAAACTTCATACAAAA